GGGGAGGGGACAAAAGGCGCGAGGGCGGGGCGCGCGGGGCGGCGCGCGGCCCTGCACGAGGAGGGGGCGGGGCCCCGCGTTCACCACAACAACAGGCCCCCGGCGCCCGGCCGACCACGCCCACCGGGGGCGGGGCCAGCGCGGGGTAGGCGGGGTTGCCGACCGCTGCGGCACCGCGCGCGGCGGCTCCTCGGTTCCCGGTCCGTGTCCCGATCCCGATCCCGATCCCTTGGCCGGTCAGCAGGAATGCCGCGGAGCTGCTGGGACTGGGTCCTGCTGCAGCGAAGCGGGGTTTCTGCTCTCACGTTGTTCTGCCGCCCAGGCGGCGCTTCTCGCGCTCCGCACGCGGCCGCCACGCGGGAGCCGGACACGCGCCTCCGCCCTGAGGCGCTTCGGAGCCTCAGCCCCACGCCCAGGGCCGCCGTCTGTCCTGACCCCGAACCGGAGGGAGCTGCGCTGCCCTCTGTTTTGAACTGTATTATGGAAACGTATTCAGCAACAGATACGCATTAATTACCTTCGTGTGGGATGTCCCTCATGGAGCTTCAGCGAACACACCAAGCCGCCCTGACTCGCTGTGTCACCTCACAACCTCCCAGTTTGCTGCCACAGTCCAGTTCAAAACAGATACAAGGGATCATTGTACACAGCTGCCTCAGCTTAGGGCCCTTCCTCTAGTGAAACCACTGTAAAACTGGTGTTTAAACACAGTTTAGGACCTCCCTCCCTCCCTCATAATTTTTATACCATTCAGACTTTTTTTAGCACTTCCCTTTCATTCATTTAGTTAACATTATCATTTTTAGCCTCTCCCCTTCGCACCTTACACTTCCACGCCATTTCCAGTGCCATCTCCAGCCAGCCAAGGGCCCAGGGCTGCTGCTTGTGTGAATGTGGCCATGGGCCACAGCCTAAGAGCCCGACCAGGGAAAACTGGCTGAGGGTGGGAACAGCTCGTTTAGAGAAGAAACAAGTCAAAAGAAGCAGTGTGGCTCAGTAAGAATGAGCAAGCTCTAATTTCATTGCCGTTTTTAATTTTGCGGGATCAAGGGATACCCGGCGAAATTGGAAGGAAGCAAATTTAAAATGGTGCAAGGAAATGTTTGTACCCTGTGTAATTAACACATGGCATTTGTTACCATGAGGTTTCATTGAGGCCAGGAGATTAGCAGGATTCAGAAAAGGATTAGACATTTATATGGATACCAGGAACATTCATGGTCACATTAGACAGGATATAAATAAATTTTAGAAGGGATATAAACTGTCAGGCTTCAAGGCACAACATAAACACGAACTGATGGTGGGGGATTAGGGAGAAACTTCCCTTGTGGGCAAGTTATTCTATAATTGTCCACTACGGGGTTTCTTGCACCTTTCTTTGAAGTACCAGTAGCAACTGTTGAAGTGAGAAGGCTGGATTAGGAGGGCCAGTGGGCTGATCTGGTATGGCAACTGCTGTGCTCTACAGAGGGCTGTGAGGGTCGCTTGAGAAATGGAGTAGCAAAAAGGATAAGATATAAGAGGTAGCATCAGGCCCCCTATATCATTCTTCACACACAGACCTTGCTTTCCTTTGCTGTAAATTTCACACACACAGCACAAATTTCCTAGACCTTCCCCACCAAGGTTTTTGCCAAAATGTTCACTATTTTTCTAAGCACAGTCTTTGCTTCTGTTTTCCCCAAAACCTTTTGTCTTAGTTAATTTATTGCTTGCAGAAGACCAATATGTTATACTGAAACCCTGTGTTTCAAGGCACAATGACTGCAAGACTTGATCTTGAGCAAGGCAGTATCTGATCTCTTGTGTATTGTGTCTTCTGGCACTGGATTGAACCAGCTCCAGCAGGGTGACTGCCGAGAGGAGAGGGCAAGCTAACTCACAACACTTTGTCAACATACAGGATCACTATAAAATACCAACAGTTCTGCCTGAGAAATCTCAGGGTGACAAGTCCTCAGACACAGCTTCTTTTGGGGCAGTTACAGAACTCCACAGTATTACCTAATGCCCAGTTCTTCCATGGAGCAAACTTTTTGTCCTCTGGCCGTGTAAAGGCAGTTTATGTTGCATTTCTGTCTTGCTCTATCCTGACATTCCTCCCTGAATTCCTGTAATGTCCAGCTGTGGCTTATCTTACTGATGCATCTTTGCTTGTTCTTGACACCAGGTCAAATAGCTTTGTAGTATTCCCACTCTCTATCCCACTAAGAATTTTGTGGACTTTAATGAAGACTCCTAATCTCTCTTTTTGTCAGAGGAGCTATGGTACCAATTTTGCCTAACTTTTTTTTAAAATTATTTTGGCTCCCTCTATCGTCCCCATTATTTCTGTTGGAGTGTGTTTTATATTGTTCTTTTTATGCAAGGATGCTGAGGGCTGCCCACAATCGCTTAAGGTTGCTTCACTTTGCTCTAGATTCTTACACTGCTCTTAAATCACTTCTTTAGATTTATTACTCCAGCATAGAAATCTCTGCTCTCCTGCTGCTGTTCAACAGTAGGCAAAGACTTGGTGAATACAATATGGCATTTCCTTTTCTTTGATCCATGTGCTTCTTTCCTTCCAAGCTACCTTTGGTTATGAGTTTTCCTGTTCATAACTAACAAAACCAAAGCCTGCTTTGAGCAGTGTCCTTTCCCAGTATGCTATCTTCTTCATCTTTTTTGGATGGATCATCTTTTTTTTTTTTTTTCTAGGCTGTTGGTAATACTTCCCCTACCACTGATTTTTCAGTTCAATTACCAAACCTGGCTGCTCACTGCCCTCCATACTTACACTCCTCCCTTACTTTCTGTGCTTTTTCTCTTCCTTTCTTCCCAAACTGGCTGAGGATTGAGTCCTTCTACCATGTAGAGTCACACTGAGAAAGAACTCTGATTATCCTGATGGGCCAAATCAAAGCCTCTTGTTTTTGTTGTTCTGGGTAATCTCTGGGTTTCTGAGCTCATTTTCTTGAGAAAAAAAAAGCCAAATTCAAAATGCCAAATGCAAATAAAAAGGTTGTAGAGATGTAGGGACTGCATGTCTCCACTCCTGTATGACAAATCATTTCATCTAGGAACAGAAGGAAGGGAGGACTGCTTTCCACTTTCTCCAGAGAGACCTGCCACCTGTGCCTGATTTAAAGCTTAAATGTAATATTAGGTTAATGACAGGTAGATCTCTTGTAGCCACGTCTGAAAGAGGATGGATTACTGACTGGTACAGGTCAGTTCCTCAGTTTCTCACCAGCTGAACTGATATTATCATTAATAAGGATCTTCTTTTAAAAATTTCTTAGCTTCCTTGTGTTTCCACATCGTGGCTTTAAGCTAAAGTCTGACTGACTAGGTTTCTGTAAACTGGGTACAGGAGACCTGCAATCTTCCCTCATAAGGACTCAGAAGCAATTGCAGAAGTGCTTTTGAATAAACCTCAGATTCTGCTCTCACTGGCAGCACATTCTCAGGAGGACGGAGCTTTGGGAGGTTCAAGTTTTCCTAATTCAGGGAAAATTATTTAAGGATAGCTTAAACCCAACATTTCTTCAAAACAGAACTTTTGCATTTCTCTGTGTGAATTGCTTCATCTCCCTGTTGTAGCATGTCTGAATTTTATTGCTCCCCTTTTTGTGCTGACCTCCCTCAATAATCTAGCACCAGCAAACCTCACTGCCTTTGCTTCTTTCTGCTTTCTGAGTTATGAAGTAGAAGACAGGTGTGATTTAGCCTCCTACTTTCACCCCAGGCCACTTCTACCTTCTAGGACTCTTCATATTTTGATCCATCTTCAAGTTCCTTGTTCCCCGTTCAAGGCCTCCTGAGAAAAGAGATGCTGTAGTTTACATATCACAGTTGAAAAGCCTTACTGAACAGAGCAAAGATTGGAGTCAAGTACTTGGTGTTGGGGGTCTGGCTTTAATCCCTTGATCTGCTTTTCTGACTCAGACAACTAATCAAGGAAACTGAGGCACATAGAGTGAAAATGGGGGCACAGATTTTTCTGGGTAGTAGTGGGACTGGGGTCGTGGAGGCAGCCAGAGGGATCACAGAAGAGGTGTGGCAGCAGGTGAGAAACTTTACTTCCTGTAACTAAACCAGGAGAGTCGAGAGAAGAAAGCCATGTTGCATTTTGACAATTCTTTATTTTGCACCATTAGTTATGATTTTACTGGTAGGGAAAGCAGTGACACACAAGGGACTGAAATAAGAGGCATGAAAGCCAATAGGAGTGGTTGAAGGACAACAAAATACATCTGAAATAGAGGACATTGATGTAGTCAAGAGACTGTGTAGGATGAGAGAGACACAAGGGAAGCAGGGGATGAGAGAAACTGGTAAATACCGTGAGAGGTGGGAAGTAAATACATCTCCTTTCTAATCAGCAGGGAGTAAGGAAAAGTTTGTAGTGACAAACACTTGCGGAGTAGAAGGAGCAGGAATGCTGTGAGGAGTAGAGAGAATGAGCTGTGAGCAGCTGAGAGAGTAAAGTCATGGAGGAAGAAGCTGAACGCAGAAAGATAAAGAAATGCCCAGTGAAGGCAAGGTCAAACAGGAGGCTCTGCTGGTGAGTGGGGTGATGCTGGGTTGAATAAGAAGGTGAGATGAGGAAGGTAGAAAATATGGGATCTAAGCAGCCTAACAAGGTGAAAATTTAACTTATCAAGAGGAAAGATGATGGAGTCAATGAAAAGGTGAGCCAATTGTTAAGGTAGAAAATGACTGGAGTGCGCAGGCAGCTGCTAATTGGGGGCACGAGAGAGTACAGGGTCTGCCTGGGCAGTGCGAGAAAGCGTGGGAGGCAGGAACTGGAAACTGAAGGAGAACAAGAGAAAACTGGCATTCCCACTTATTTTTTTTTGCCACTGTGATGCAATGAACCAGCTTGCACAGGTCTGTTGCTGAAGTTGGATATACGGTGTCAGTACAGCTGCATTTAAATTTTAGCTAACGCAAGCAGGGCTTCAGGTGTAGCTAAGATACAAACACTTCTCTTTAGCTTTGAGTTAGCAGAAGGTTTTCCATGATTTCTGCAGCCTGCTTGAGGCTCATCTGCTGAAGAGCCTGTTGCTTGGTCAGAATGTATTCTTCAGCTCTTCATGTGCAGACCCAGCTGCTATGCCTTGGAGGGTGCAATCACAAAAGTGCCACGCAAGTATTCGTTTTGTCTCCTGGATGTACACATTTAATTTGCTCATTGTACAAGATAACGTGAAAGCAGTCATTCCCAAGAACCTGGCCTACCATCTGAAAAACTGACTGCTGCTCTTTGTAACAACCCAGCTATTTATTTCACAACACTATTTGCAGCTGAGCAAACCACTGGAAAGTAGAAGCGGTTTCACATTATTGAAGTGTAGCCACGCTTTCCGTGAAGCATAACAGCAGTTACACACATCACCATTGGTTTAGGCAGAAAATCAGCAGCATCGTGCCTTTTTAGCTTGCATTCACTCTCTTAGTCACAAAGCATTTACCTACTGGGAATTTGGCTGGCGCTGATGTGGCAAAGCACCCTCCATCATGGCTCCTCTCCTGTGTGCTTTACTGAACTACATATCAAACCAACAGATCTAAGCCTTGGATCTCAACGGATTTTCTGCCCCTAATCCATTGGGGCTGAAAACCACAGGTTGTAACTTGATGTTTTATCCCCTAGAGAGCAATCAACAGGCGAACAATAATTTGTGGCAACGGATTTGAAGCCAGGGAATCTGGATCTTTCCAAGTCTTCCCCAAAGAGTAGCACTGAGAGGGGCCCACCGCGTGCGGGTTTGTTTGTGGTCAGCCATGCTCACAGCTGCTGCTGAGCACCGGCCTGTACATCTGGCAGAGAGACAAGTCACACAGGGACTGGCTTGAATGGCTACAAAACAAGATGGGGAGCTAGTGATCTGCCCTAGAAACCTCGGCGAAGAGACACACAAACCCCGGTGCTTTTATGTCTTTCCAGGTCTGTTGTCTCTACTTCTGCTGCCCACAGCTATTCCACAGGCAGCAGTGCTATGGCATAAACAAAGAGATACTTTAATTGTTTCCAGACCAGTGGTTAGCAATGGTGCTGATACGTGTACCATGTGCCCCAGTACTGGTTCCTGTAGGCTGCCTCTGAACACCCATTGGGATTCACCACCTCAGCCTAAGCTTATTCGGCTCAGGTGCAGCATGCTGGGGAGGCAAAGCACTCACAGGCAAAGAGAGCAGCCCCAGATGAAATGCAGAGGATGCTCCACAGCAGGGCAGTGCTCCATGCATAGAGGAGCTCCTCATCAGTCACTCCAGGAGAGAAAAGCTATATATTCCTTGAGGGGAATTAAAAGACCATTTTGCTTACAAGCCATAATGATTCAGTTCTCTGTTCAACACCTTCTTAGATGGGGATTAGAGATATCAAAGCAGAGCTGGCAGTGCAGCTGAAATTTTCTTTGTTGCAACCAGCCTTCTGTAGCCTGGACCTAAAGACATGAGGGAAAGCTTGATTTCTCATCTAAAGCTGCTGATCCCACACACTTCGAGAAGTGCTGAGTACCTATTGCACGGAGCAAGACGGTTCCTGTTCAGCACTGGTGCCAAAGCTGTGCTCCCAGCAGAGGTTTCTGGGCCAGATTCAGGGTTGACGTAAACCACTAAGCCCATCCAAGTTAAAAAATGGGATGGCTGTGTGCATACCAATTCCCGCAGCTGTGGAGGGGCTGGAAAGGCAAAACCCGTGGTGGTTTAGGCTAAGGCAGACCTTCCCAACACTTCATTTGACACCCACCTGTTAGTTGCTTTTCCTGCTATGCTACTTCTGTGGTGAGTGCAACTCCCCGGCGCTAACTTGTTGTGACCTCACCACCATCCATTTCCAGCCTCACCGATACCTCCACTTATTGCTGCTACATTTGGCTAGGGAGATATTCAAATCCCACGCCTTCCATAGCAGTCATCAGAAATTAAAAGTAATTTATTTCTAAGTCTTGCTAAGAATGGGATACGAGGTTACACTGATGCATGACTCTAGAAATTAGGCAGAGCCTCATGGAGGGCTGAGCAGCCATCCAAACATTAGCAGAACTGAGTCGTGGTTCCAGCTCTTTCCCTGAATTGCTCTGTGCCTTTGAGTAAATCAATTTATATATTTTTTCCTCATCTATAAAATGAGAACGGTCGTATTTAGATACCTCAGGGAAGTTGTGAGGCTTAATTAGTTAATGTTAGTGCCTTGTCAGTTCTCATTACCATGGTATCTCCATGTTTATTGCTTTGAAATTGTAAAATGCTACTTACATGCTAAACATTATTATTTAAATGAAGTGGAGCAACTTAATCCAGTTTCTCTGTAAATACCAAAGGCAGGGAGTAGACATTCCTGGTATTGGCATTGGTATGAGGTCTGCCCTACTTGTAGAAAAGTCCCCCTGACATATAACAAAACTGATTTATTTCCAGATTCCTAATGTAGCTGTTCTTGAAACAGTTAAACTGAATTTTTACCGGTTTACCTTTTTTAGTATGTATAATTAAGTTCACTCAGGACAAACACAATTTAAACTGTTCAGACACAAGGTTCACTCCAGTGCAAGGTTCATTCCAGCTAGGATCGCTTCCTCTACCATAAATAATCCAGGCAGGTCTCAATCAGAATAAGGTCCATGGAAGACTTTCAGAACCTGTCAAGTCACTCAGAGAAAAATGACTGTAGGCAGATCAAAATGGGGAATGGCTGTCAGATTCATGGATTGAAGGGATTTTAGGTGCCCAGACTCAAAGGAAAAGAGCTAGTGACTAATCTGGTTAGTCATCTCCAAACCTTTCCTAGAACAGTCCTGCTTGTAACTGGGGAGTTTTGAGATACTCAGCTTTTCCTGACACCACTTAAGGGAAAGCTCCGCAGGAGCACAGCCTAGACCTTGGTGGCTATTAGAACAGACCTGGCAGCAGGACCAGGGGGCTTGGGATACTGGCATGGTTTTGCAGGTGCTTGTGCAAGGTGTTGTCTCCAATCACCATGAAAACCAATGTTCTAACTCTGTCCAAAGGATTGCTTGCTGGACATGATTTGCATGGCAGTGGTCTCCTTACTCCTGAAATAACTGTCTGCTGGAAAGTAACCCTGCCTGGCAGATTGAGCCCCTGTGTCCTCCATGGCAGCTCCGCTGTTCAGAGGCTTTCAGAGGTGTGGACTTAGGCCATGTGATGTATTTAAAACAGGCCACACAATGACAGCAGCTGGTCATCTCTCTTGGTCACTAGTCCAGTTGAACAGCAGCGTAGAAGTAAAAAGAAAAGACCTGCTTGTGCCATTCGTGGCACCGTCATCCACTGATTCTTTCAGCTGTTTCTGTTTTACCACCTCTCAGCAAACACTTGCAGCTCAGCTCCAGGGGTTCCCATGCTGATAGGATGTCAATAAAACCTGCTAGTGCTCCTTAAAGTTAGGCAGGAGGGATGCCGTAGGCTCCTGAACAGAGATTTGATAAATAGATCACAGTCTTGCCCAGAAGAACCTCTAGGCTTCCGTTCCCAGCTCCCCAAACAGCTCTGCCAACGTACCTCTGCTTTCCCCCTCCTGCAAACCACCTGCCTGTGGTGGAACAGTTGCTTCTGTGGAGGCACCTGAGTAGTTTTAAACCTGTGACTTGATAAAAATACAAGTAGGTGTGTAATGGAGAAAGGCCTGCATTGGCAGGGAGGAGGGCCAGCTGATTTATTCTTTCTTCTGCACTTAATAGCTTTTGAGTTTTGGGATTCCCACAACCAGGCTTCCTGGTTCACCCTCATGTCTAAGCCTCATTTTCCTGCTGAGAAGCAAGGGATGTATGCTGGCAGCTCTGTCTGTCTGCCCCAGCCCCCAAGATGTTCTCTGCCCTGCTACATCATGGCATCAAAAAACCCAACCACTTGATCACCCAGATCAACAGTATCATTTGCAAAAGCACTCGGCACCCAACCATCCTGCCAGTTATCTGAGTGGCCATCTTTGCCTTGTCTGTTCCCAGGGGCCACTCCCAGCAATATGCAGACAAAATGGGTAACTTTACTGGAAGCCGTGGGGATGACCCCACTTTATGCTCTGGGAGAGGGCAGAATCTGCCCCCAAGCCCCAAAACATGGCAGGAAAGCTTTGATTTATACATCTAGACAAAGCCCCACAGGGAACTGCTGTATGGAAATAAAACCCATTATGCTTTACAATTAGAGAGGGAAAAGGCTTGGGGTTAAAATATGAAGTGGTCAAGCTATTAACCTTCTCATCTAGAATGAATGGTCACTAAATTATGGGGCACATCTCCTTCCTCCTCCTCCAAAGAATGGGCCTTAGGAGGAGTGGCTGAGGGAGCTGGGGTTGCTTAGCCTGGAGAAAAGAACACTCACTGGGGACCTAATCACCCTCAAAAGCTACCTGAAAGTGAGTGGTCTCTTTTTTCCAGTTAACAAGCCATAGGTCAAGAGGAAATGGCCTCAAGTTGTGCCATGAGAGGTTTAGATTGGATATTAGGAAAAATTTCTACATCCAAAGGGTTGTCAAACACTGGAAAAGAGTGCCCAGGGAAGTGATTGTGCCACCAACACTGGAGGTGTTTAAAAGGCACGTAGATGTGGCACTAGGGACATGATTCAGTGGTGGGCTTGGCAGTGCTGGGTAATGGCAATTGATGATCTTAAAGGTCTTTTCCAACCTAAATGATACTGCTCCCTTACGTGAACAAGCAATAAAGCATAATTAATCCTGCTCTGAAAATATGATCAAATACCAGCAGTGAGTCACAGCTGAGCCTGAGGGGGTTAAGGAACTTAAATCAGAGAGCCAGCACATCAGGCAAACAGCAAATCCTCCTACCACCTCCTGTCACCACGAACACCCAGCTAGGGCTGTTCCTACCAGTGACATGAAGCGTGCTGTCTTACGTGGACTCCATGGGGGGAAAGAACAGTTTGTGTAAGCTCTTGTAAGGTGGGCAGACTCTGTAAGGGATGAGAGGCCTACATGGGAGACCCAGGAAAGCACAGGAAGCACATCCAGTGCCAGTACAATTCCCTCTGGGTCACAGTGCTGGGGGGGGGCAGGGAGGGGGCAGGTGTGTGTTTGGAGAGGGAAAGGGATGGAGTTTCCAGAGATCCTATCTTTTAAGATGTAATATTGCATATAGGTTCTAGCCAGTTCTGATGGTTAAAAATCCCCTGGTAGTGTTTGGGCATATGTGCTCTGGGTACATTGTAAACTGAGCAGTTGCATTTTGCTGGTCTTAAAGCAATTCCAGACAGCTTCAGCTTGAAGAAAAATTAATCTTCCCCCTCCCTGGTAAAATGTGTCCTGCTGTGGACAGTCTATGCTAAAGGCAGCTGGATGGCTGGGAGGAGGAAAAATGGCTTGTTAGTACATACTGCAGAGATGCTTCTGGATGGAACATGTTTTGTACCTTTGATCAGTGGTCAGAGAGGATAGGGGAAAGTCTGCAGAGACAAGATGGGTCCTGCAAGCCCCCCCAGGGAAGTGGCAGCACACAGCTCCGATGTCCCAAGATGAATAGACGGAGTAGATCACCTTGTCCTGACCCCCTTGGCTTCCAACACCTGCTCTTTCCCAAACACACTGGTTGGGCACATGAGAAAACCTCACCAGCATGAGAGAGATGTGGTAGAGAAGTGTTCTCCCACCCATCTTGTGTGAGAGAATTGTGACATAAAATTCACACACAAGACTAGGGCCATCCTGCTGCTTCTCTGGGCAAGACTCTACGAAAAGCAGAGAAACAAAAGCCATGCTTCTTTTTGCAGGGTATCATCTGTCAAGAAGCATTGCCTAGCTGCCAGCCATACTTCATGTTTAAGTCCCCTGCTCTTTGATCTGGGGGTTGTGAAGAGGCGGGAGCCGGGCAGGCATTTTTTGGATGCATATATTGAGCCATACCCCACTCAGGCACCTTCTGCCAAGCATTTGTGGGTATTCAGAGTGAAGTGGGATAGGGAGCATGTCTCCAAGCCAGCACACGTAGAGCAGCAGAGAAGAGGCAGCAGTGTAGGCTTCAGCATGAGCTGGACCAGCCCACTCAAGTATGAATTTGGTTTGTCAGCAATAAGTATCCATACTCCTGTTAGCACTTGGCTGGCAAGCTGGTGTGGGTGTGCCTGTCCTTGCCAGAGTGACTCTCATCTGCCTGTGTCCTGGTCACCAGTCTTCGATGGCCCAAGGGCACAAGCAGTAACAACACTCTGCTTTGCTGCCTTTGTTGGAAGTGGGAACAAAGCCAGTGGAGGATAAAGCATTGCTCATTGCAAACACCTGCAGACCTGATTTTTTTGTGGGACCTATTCAACGAGCTTTTTGGTTTGGGATCATGATATACAAGTTTTTGGGTATTCTCTTGTTTAAGCTTATAAGCAGCCACTGTATGCTGCAGGAGTGAACCCTCTTCCCAGCTCACCATCTCTCCAGGTCCATCAGCCGGTCCACTGGCAGATAACATCCAACTGTGGCTTGTGCTCTACTGCCAGCCCTGTGGCCACAAGTACCAGGTGGCCCAGGAGCTTTAAGCTGAGGCCTAAATGATTACTGGTTCTGTCCTCTCCAAAGGATACCCCACAAGTCCACCATTTCCTGGAGCATCTCTTTGCTTTGAGAGGCAAAACTTTGGTACTTTTGGTTTTTTCTTCTCTCCTCTCTTTCTAATGCAAGTTAGAGTCGCTAAATACCCATCACAACTCTACCTTCATCTTACCAATGCATGGCTTTTCTCAACTGATTTTTCTTTTCCATAAGAGAGGGTTATCATTTGTCTGAACTAGCATCACAGGACTCAAGTTGAAAGCAAAACCAAGCAAATATTCATTTAGCAAAACATTCGGATGCCATTACAACAGCGATATTAAATATAAACCAAACTGACAACCAATATTCCCCTGCAGTCTTTCCAACTTTGAAAACCATGCTGAGGAAGATTAAGAAACAGAAAGAAAACTTGAAATAAAAGAGAAACCAGCCAAACTAATTCCTTTGATCCAGCTGAGAAAAAGATACAGGAGGGAAAGAGCTAGCATAAATAGTAACCCTTTATTTTTTTTCTTCACTACTGTTAGTAGCAGTGATCACTATGCCTCAAGATCCTTGTCTGTGAAATGAAGATGTTAATATATAGTTGTAGCCATATGCAATTTTATGCAATCTGTTAAATGCCCTTAATGCTATAGGTGGAAGGCCATAGAGGGAGGCAACAAGTACTGTAACGAACTGCCAAATATGTCACTGTTCACTACAAGATCTGCTTAACTGTGAGTTACAGACTCCATATCACTCATAGCCATGCTTTGGCTTTATTGCCTACCTTGATAGCCTGCGTGGTCAGGGTAGGCAAGACAGGAGGGCTCTGCAGAGGGATCTGGATAGACTTGAGAGATGGGCTGATTCCAATGGGGTGAAGTTCAATAAAGCCAAGTGCCGGGTCCTGCACTTTGGCCACAGCAATCCCATGCAGCGCTACAGGCTGGGCACAGAGTGGCTGGAAAGCAGCCAGGCAGAAAGGGACCTGGGGGTACTAATTGACAGGAAGCTCAACATGAGCCAACAGTGTGCCCAGGTGGCCAAGAAGGCCAATGGGATCTTGTCCTGTATCAAAAATAGCGTGGCCAGCAGGAGCAGGGAAGTGATCCTTCCCCTGTACTCTGCGTTGGTGAGGCCACACCTTGAGTATTGTGTTCAGTTCTGGGCCCCTCAGTTCAGAAAGGATATTGAGGTGCTGGAGCGGGTCCAGAGAAGAGCAACAAGGCTGGTGAAGGGACTGGAGCATAAGTCCTATGGGGAGAGGCTGAGGGAGCTGGGGTTGTTTAGCCTGGAGAAGAGGAGGCTCAGAGGTGACCTCATCACCGTCTATAACTACCCGAAGGGAAGTTCTAGCCAGGTGGGGGTTGGTCTCTTCTCTCAGGCACTCAGCAATAGGACAAGGGGGCATGGGCTTAAGCTCCGCTAGGGGAAATTTAAGTTGGATATCAGGAGAAAATTCTTTACAGAGAGAGTAATCAGGCATTGGAATGGGCTGCCCAGAGAGGTGGTGGATTCACCATCCCTGGAGATTTTTAAACGCAGATTGGACGTGGTACTGAGTGCCATAATCTAGTAAATGGACTGGATTTGGACCAAGGGTTGGACTCGATGATCTCGGAGGTCTTTTCCAACCCAATCGATTCTATGATTCTATGATTCCCATGGTGTTAATAACATGAGGAGGCCTGTGTGCGCATGAGCACGTACCTGTGTGTGTACACACGAAGCCTGTGTAGACTAATCCTTTTTGAAACTTTCTGCTTAGGGAACTGCATGGAAATCTCAAAGCTGCTGAGTGAGGAGCTTTCCAGCATCTCGGGCCAACCGTTTGGCCCTTCGCCTGAAGCGGCATGAGAGAGGGCAGGGTTTGGGGAGGAATGGTTTTCCTGCTGGCTATACCCAGAAGGCCGCTAGGTACTTCAGGCTGATGGCTGTCAGCCTCTTACATCTGTTCCTGGTATCTCCATACTTGTGATCAATGCCTGTTGAGAAATGATTCTCAGAAAAAAAAGTCTGTGAGCAGTGGCCAGACGGTGACTTGTGGTCCCTTGTTCCTTACTGGTTTAGTGGCTCATGCTGTACTGTCATTTGTGTGGCCTTGGGAAACTCAGAGGGGGTTCCCTAACTGCTGCCCTGATTGCAAATGATGAACGAGAGGCAGAATAGCACATTTGTGGTATACCTAGTATAATTCCCGGTCCCCAAAGAGGTCTTTCATGCCGGGCTCTACCGCTGGCCTTCTCTGCCCCAGATTTCATCCCACCCGTGGGGTGGGGGATGCAGAGGAAGGCAGGACTTTTCTGCCTTCAGAATGAATCTCCAAGATTCATTCAGAGTCAAGAAGTATTTTAAGCACTCCCCATCCCTTTCCTGCTGCAGCTGCTGTGCCCCATGCTGTTTCTTTGTAACACAGAGAGAAGGACAGAGGCATATTTTCTTTTCAGCACTTACCACCGCTCGGAGATCTTCACCATCTCCTGCCTGCAGGCAGAACAGATGCTCCTATTCCTCTCTTGTCCTTTCCCAGAGAGATGCCTTCTATGGTTTTGCACCAATTTCTTAAAAATAATAATGAACTTTACTGAACGAGGAGCCACACACTTATTTCTATTCTAAAACTTACTCCACCTGCCCATTTTGGGTGAATCCAGCCTGTAAGTATCTTTACTTAAAGGCTACAAACAGCCTTAGACAGTGATTGATTCATCCCACGTGTATGTGTTGTACTCGTCACCCTGGGCTCCAGACTAGGGCCAGATACACAACCACAGCTGAAAAAAACCCCTGATCTGTGGAAAAACTTTGACTTAGAAGGAGAGAAATAGTTGTAGCACAGGGAATAGTTTTGGTGTTCACTTATCCCTTATGCTGTAACTTTAGCAAAAAACACGTAATTTTTTTAATTAAGGTGGCAGCTGGCGCTGCTTAGGTCTTTGAAGTTATGGCTATTACACAGCAGATCAGTGTCAAACCAAACTCTGTCACTGCACTCATACCCACCATGCCAGAGTCTCCCTCTATTCCCACAGAAATATACTCTGGGAGACACTACCTGCAAAGCACTCACAGCACAAGAGCAGCTAAAATTGCAGTGGTGTGCTCTGTGGTGCTTTAACAAACATTTGCCCCTCCCAAAGTTCCCCGCAAAATCTGCAGCTGATAACCCCTCCCTGGGAGAGATTGGACTCTGCAGAGGAGCACTGTCAGCACATCCAACCTCCTTGCACTGACATCCCTCCCAGCACCACCACCCAAAGGCACCCTGCTCCAGGGCCCTGCTGCCAGGACAGGCAGCCATAGGGAACAAATCTGCCTCTCACCTATTTATTCTGGAGCCATGTGGGGGTTAATGCTCCCTTTCCCAATTGTAGAGTGACCCAGGTGGGGCTAATGAGTGCTTGCCTTGCTTAGCTAATTAGAGGCGCTGAGAGCAGCAGGCTGCAGTTCTGGGCTGGGGCACTTGCAGAGGGAATATAGAGTGTGTAGGTTTTATTTCCAGCTTTTTTTTTTGTCAAATAAAAACCTCTGGCAGGATAGCACAGCACAGATGGGAAAGAGCAAGGAGATGAGGCTCCCTTCTCACCCTCCCTCTTCTAATCTGCATTATTCTGGGGTATGAGAAGGAGGCGGGAGCAAAAGATAAGGAAGGCTAGACCATTTGTTCCCCTTCAGAGTTTCAGTATCTGATCTAAATGAGCACAGTCCTTAGAAGCCCAGCCTAGGCCTCCCCACTTCCATGACTCACCCCTCTCAAGGTGCCCACCACCTCTGTGGAGTCCAGCAGAGCGTGCTCCAGTAGCAGTCTCTGTTCAGAGGCACGTGAAGCTCAGGCTTCATGTGGGACACTTATGGACTCCAAAGTGCTCTGCAGTGCAGTCAGAGAGGGCTTCGCCCTCCCTCCCTGCCATTTCCCCATGAGTGTGGCTGCCCAAGGTTGCTGAAGGAGAGCCTTCCCTCTCAGAAATGGTGGGAGAAACTGAGGAAGCTTTAATACGGCTGCTGGGCTCGACAGTCCTGCCCTGGCCCCTCCCGTTTGCACATTCCAGAGGTTTTGCTGCCAAAAAAAGACCCCGGACAGATAGACAGACAGTGTGCACTGACATGACAGCCAGTGCTGCTGCCTGCCACTCCCACCCTACAGCAGCAGGGCAGAGGCTGGGAGTGGGGGGCAGTCACTGGTGTGGGGGTCTGTGACATGGACAGTTTCCACTTGAGCTGAAAGCTGCCTGTTTGGGAAGGTTTGGGGTGCAGAAGCCCAGGTTAAGGGGCAGTGCTTCTCAGGGAGGTCATGGCCAGAGCTGCTAAGGCTGCTCCTTGCCATCCCACATGTGGCAGCAGGCTGGCCAGCACATGACAGCTTGAAGGGATCTAGATTTTATTACAACATCACCTCTACCATAACACACCCAAAGAAGGCCCTCAGCTGCTGATGAGCCTGCCCTGTGCTCACAGGCTTGACCTCGAAAAGTTGTGGTCTGAGCTCTCTTTTCCTTGCCTACCCAGCCCTTTACACAGAAATTGCAGCTGCTGCTGAAAGGTGCTCATTTTTCGTCTCACTCTTGCAAGCTGCATTTCCCTTGCCTCCATCTAGCTCCCTTCCCTTATTTAGTTCCCTTCATGTTGTTTTCCCCTGGCTTTTCCTTTGTTTCTTTCATGAGGAAGCAGCACATCATTATGGCTGGTCTTTCTCTGGAGCTCTCCTAGCCGAGGTCATTACTTAGCTTGTGAGATCCAACGAGGTGGCTGTTTGTATGGCTGTGAGACCTATGAAAAAGCAGCTAATCAATTCAGAAAATCATCTGGGTGGTAACCCCACTGTCAGCTTATTTTCTTCCCTTCCACTTAGACATCAAACTGGCTGAAGAGGGCTCTGGGGAATGAGGCAGGCACTGAGAGCTGCTCCTCTGCAGACACATCTGTGTCTTTCATCAGCAGGGCTCAGGGAATACCACTAACTGGAGAGGGGAAAAATCTCTTTGGAGCTGAGAGGCTGGCGGTCTCCGTCCTCTCGCTCTGAAGAGACCCTGCCCAGTGGGGAAGCAATCGTTTGAGAAGTGGCTAATGCACTAACGCTGTTTGGCAGAGACTGTCACAGAATACACAGAACTGGGGGAGGATGGGGGAGAAACACACAGCAAGGAGGGCAGCGTTGGGTACACCAGTGAGCACACCCTGGTTGCCAAAATAGCTTGTAATGGCTAAGTGGAGCAGCAACTGGCAACAGCACATGCAAATGGCCTTCTGGTGAATTAACTTACTAATTGTTGTGCTTCACTTTCACTCATTCTTTCTCTGGTTTGTGTCTTTGGGCACTACACAAGAACTGGGAATGCTCAGAGCCATAAAGCCTTTACCATCACCAGTTTTAGTCACTAGAAATAAAGATGCACAGCATCTTGTACTCTGGGACTCTGTGGTGTCATTCAGAGAAGATAAGTCACATCTGAAAGGCGTTCTCTGTCAGACCAGCTAGCCCTCTGAAGGGAGGGTGTGGATGTGCATGGCTGTGTCACAGAATCACAGAATGGTTTGGATTGGAAGGGACCTTTAAAGGTCATCTAGCTCCAACTGCCCTGCAATGAGAAGGGAGATATACCTTCAACTACATCAGACTGCCCAGAGCCCCATCCAACCTGACCTTAAATGTTTCCAGGGATGAGACATCCACAGCAATCTTCTGTGTGCATCCTATTCCAGTGTTATATCACCCTCATCATAAAAGATTTCTTCCTTATATCTAGTCCAAATCTAGCCTCTCTTAGTTTAAAACCAGTATCACTTGCCTTATCACAACTGGCCCTACTAAAAAATATGTCCCATCTTTCTTATAAGTCCCCTTTAAGTACTAAAAGGCTGTGATGAGGTCTCCCCAGAGACCTTCTCTTCTCTAGGCTGAATAATCCCAGTTCCTCATAGGAGAGATGTTCTGTCCCTCTAATCATCTTGCACAGCCCCCAGGGTGTGGGATTCATTCCAGCAAGTCTCACTGCCAGCAATAGCCCTGCTCTGGGAACTGACCAAAACTTCCAGCCCAAGGCATTGCCAACCACCCATTGCCAAGCACCCAACAGCCACTTGGAGGGGCAGGGGGCACTCTAGCCCCCTGAACCCTTTTCCATCCCATGAGGCATCAGGGAGGCTGCTGGGGGCAGAGTGGGACACCAGGATCCTCTACATTCCATCCCGGGAGTCCCCAGTCAGCACCAGAGTCACCCCCAGAGTTCTTAGCAACCACCTGCCATAAGGAACATGGCACAGCCAAAACTGCAGCTCCCACTGCATCACTCTCAGTCTTTCCTGATGCCCTGGCTGCTTCTGTCTTTTGTCCATCCTGAAACCTCCTGCATCACAGGCAGGGATCAACCCTGACCCGCACAGACTGGGATGCTCTGCTTTCCTGAAGGTCTCCCCTTCTTCCCTTACTCTACGACTCAAAACTGTAGATTTATCAAGCAGTGCAGCAGATCAAAACAAAAATGTTTGGCTGCTGCATCTTCTATTCCTTATCCAGCACACTATTTTTAGACACCAAAGTCTACCGTAAACCAAGAAGTTTAATGCTGACATTAGCTGCTTTGACTTCTAAATTTTTTACTGAGCAAAAATTCATTTTTTATCAACAGATTATAGGAATCATGATATTCAGACCTATAAGTGACAAACTCTTTCAAATATCTGTAAAAATGAAGTATTGTCTGCTAACCACACCTGACTTGTTTGCACACCAACAAAGCTGAATCCACCATCTCAAACTCCCATCCCATACCAAAAAGGGCACATAGCATTTTGTCCCCACATTCTAAGAAAGGTGGGGAGGGAAGAATGGGATTTTATACTCCTTTGAATTGAAATTATATAAATTACGTAGGTTGCTGTTTTGTTCAATTTACATGCAAGTCTTTTTCATAAAGCCAGGAACACTCACACATAGCTATGCTTTCCCTATTTTCCATGCATGGTACAGTGGTTCTACATTTATTTAGCAACAATACTGAACCCTCTGCAAAGGTTTTGCTGTAAGTTCAGAATGGGAGAACAGCCTGCATTTCAGGTTTCCTTCCTTCTGCAAGGTCGAGTGACATCCTGAGGTCTCCTTTTAGAAAGCTAACAAACCATGTTAGAAGAATAAAACAAGATCTTTAATGGAGAAGCCTTGCACTCAAGAGAACACACAGCACTGATCGAGGCCACAGTTCAATTCTTTGGCTCATTTTCTGCAGTGACACAGACAAGACAACTGCACACCTTTTTTTAGAAGCAAACTCTGATTCTCTTCACAGCCAGGCAACTTTGTCAAAGGATTTCAGAGGCAAATGAAAGGCTTTAACATTTATGAAATAGTAAGTGAATAAGTGAAAAAAAATTCCTTGAAACTACTGTTTAAAAAAAGCCCACCTCAAATATGGGAGAAAGCAGAAAGTTCAACTACCTTTAAAGAAAATGCCTTTCTACAGAGTAAGCTCAGTATAAAATGAAGATGTGAATTTGTTTCCTTTGGTCTCTCCAGCACTTCAAATAAAATAAAACTTTTATCCTATTATGTTTTAAAGCATGACTTCCAGCAGAATAAACAGTTCTTGCCTTATTTCCTCTATTCTACATGAAGCGTCCTACC